CCATTATCTATATAAAATGCTGAGCGTATAGTTTTCTATATATATATATATATATATATATATATATATATAACGTCCATGTGAGAGATAAAATATTCTGTATGCGTTGTAGTAGCAAACGGTAGTAGCAACCTTACAAGGACGTCTGTTCCTAGTCGGACATATTTTAAAGTGGCACAAAACAACAGTAACAATTTGGTGGTCGGCCATTTTTGTCGTTGTGAGAAGTTAAATTAAACATTTTAACGTGTTTTTTTATCAATAAGGTAAAAACTAACACAGCGTTTGCGTCAAGTGGACTGACTTTTTATACATACTGTTTGTTTCGCACACACCGGTGTTTTTTATCTTTATTTTTTTATTTGTTAAAGATAGCTAGAATGCTAACATGTTGCTAAACCCATCATTCGGCTCAGACGACCGAAAGTCCGTTCGGTCGCAAAACTGCGTGTACAAAATTGGCGACAAAACTAGTCCCATTAGCGTTATACTTGTTAGCTCTGGTAGCCGAGGGAATAAACTACTTTTTCGGTATCCTTTCCAAAGAGCGGCGGAATGTCAGTCGTCTCTCACAGGTAGGAATTGAATGAGCACGTTAAAAGCGTTAATGTTGTCGTTATTTCACATAGTATATTGTATGTTTGTTTATCTGAGTGAAGTACTGTAATGCTTAGACTATAAGAAGTGGAAGAGTTTGTGGGTGGGCTGTGAAATTCAAACATTGGGGCGTGTGAACCGAACCCATGGACAGTGGAGAAAAAGAGGAGGCAGTTAGCAAAAGGTCACAAGGCTTGTTTGTAAAAAAAAAAAAAAAAAAAAAAAGGAGAAGCATTCAAGAGAAAAAACAAGGCAAGGGCACACGGTCCACTGTGAAAACCTAAACAACAAGTCATTTTTTAGTAAAATTAAAACAATTGAAACACATAATTGTCCAGGACAATTGTTAAAAGTTAAAATTGTCCTTTTAACATATTTTATAGCCCATTAGGACAAGGCAAGGGCAACCTGACAACCTAAAAAACAACAACCCCAAAATAACAGACAAACAGATAAAAAACATTAAGTCATTTTTTTAGTAAAATTAAAACTGAATTGAAACAATTGAAACAACTAATTGTCCAGGAGAGCGCCAGCTTCTTTTAACATATTTTATAGCCCATTAGGTTTTGTTGTTGTGGAGTACCAGTTTTCTTCAAATACCATATATTTACCATATAAAATGTTTTCTGATTATTAGCAGTAAATTGAGTAACTAATGATTAGTCATTGATTTGTTGACCAACCATAAGCAGTTATTTTACAGATATCAACATCAACCGTTGAAAGATCTGGTCAATTAACCTGACAATGTAATGTTGTTTTAATCATAATTTTTCATAAAATACTGTTTTCTTTCACAAGCCAAGCAACGGAATCCTTATGCACTAAACACAGCTGGGGAGGGTCTTGAAGACCAGGATGGTGATTTGAGGTATGTTTGTCTAAAGGCTAACTGATTCACGCATTACTTTGACAGTACAGGGAGTTCCTTGGTATACGACGTCCATAATTACATAGAAATACCAATAAGTCCATGTTTTGTCCCTTTGTTTTCATGCAAAAAAAGTACAAGTATGTTAGATATTATACAATGCGATTATAATTATTTTTATTAATTACATTGAAATATAATTTTACAAAACATTTTCTTCAACATAAAGTGTACATTTTATTTTGAAAAATTCCTCTAGCGGACCGGATCGAAACCCCAAGTGGGATTGTTTTATCCCGTGAGCCTTATGTTTGACACCCCTGTCCTAGATAATGATGTTACCACTGTGTTAGCATAGGTGAGTGACATACGTATGTATGTAGAGAATGTGAAAATGGAGTTACGTTGCGCCCCCGTCTACTTATTTTCATGTTTATATGATTAAGATTCAAACAGTAATTTCCTTGAAACAAACAGACTCGCAGTTTGAAAAATTGCTCGTGTTTGGTTGGTTTTGATGTCAATATTTTTTCATGCTTTGAGCCCAACTGTTTGTTGCAATTTTTTTTCTTTTTTTGTTGCTTTTTTCTGTTTATGGCCCAATACCCATTTCAGGGAACATTCTCCACTAACTGATGAACAGTTTGTATCAGGGTAAGACCAAATTATTCTGGATCATCTCTACCTCGTTTAGATCTACCCTTTCTTTTCAAAAATCCCCTCCCCTCCTTCTCTTGTTGTGGATTCCCACCCCTAATCTGCACATACACTCTGGTAAATTGTCTGGCGGATCTGGTGACCCAGTGTTGCATCCCTCTGTGCTTGTTTTCCTTCTGAACACTGTTTCAAATCGATACACAATTAATGAATATCCTCTCATAATATAGTGGTATGATAAAAAACAATTTCCCTTGACTACTTTGTACAACCGGCGACGTACAAATACTAGAAGTGCGATGCCCAATACGAAAAGTAAATTAATACATTTTTAATCACTATTAATGGTAATTAATATTGTGAAATACATCTGTTTGATCACAGCATGAGTATCTTGAGTCAGACCAGCATGTGTCTTTAATATTTTTTTCCTCTCAGTAACAGTAACTTCACGTCCTTTCGAACGAGAGCTCTTCTTCTTCCCTCTGCTGTTAATTTAAGTTCTGACTGTTGAATCACCAACCAGTTGCATCCAACCCCTCGCACAGACACAGGAATGTGAACACACTGAGCTAATTTCTCCCTGCTCTCCCCTCTCCTTCTCTCCCCTGGCCGTACATTCATTTATCCTGATCTGTTTGGCTTTCCGCTCTTTTAGATTCTCCGACATAATACTGGCCACCATCCTGGCTACTAAATCTGACATGTGCGGAAAGAAGTTTGAGCTGAAGATTGACAACGTTCGGTTTGTTGGCCACCCCACCCTCCTCCAGCATCCTAACATCATTCAGGTAGGAACAGATGAGTGGTGAGAAGTCAGAAAATCTTTAAATCCAAACAGAACAAACACGTTCATGGGCATTTGTTTGTATTGAGTCAAAATGGTGGGGTCTTTTTTTTTTGTATCAGCTAAAATTAGTCAGTCTTTTCATGTAGTTTATGCAGAAACTCCTTTATTTTACTTTATTTTAAGTCCTTGTTTTTGCAATAATACATTTATAGGCATTGTAGTAATAAAACAAAAAAAATACAAAATTATATGATAATAAAAAATAAAAAATAAAATAAATAAAAATAAGAAAGGCATACAAAATGGAAAAAAAGTGTTTTGTTTAAAAAAGGTCTAAAGCCTAAATATCTAAAAAATTATATGCACACCTGATGTACACAATGTCAAATATATTTAAATATATGTGAGTGATGCCCATGATTAGTGCAAATAAGTAAATTGCAATTTACTATTAGATTACACAGTGATTGCTGGTAGATTATGAGCAAATAAAATATGTAGATTCATTATTTTTTTATTCTTAGTAACCAGTAACTTTCCCAACGTGTGGGACAGAGGAAATCTACAATCACATTTCATTAACAAAAATAATGTGAATTGATGTAACTAAAAATGCACAGCTGGAAACTTTACTGTACAATGTGTAAGTATATCCTAATAAAAACATGGCGAATATTTAATTTTTGTTATTTTATAACAAATATAAATTCATAAAAATAAATATATATATATATGGTTATAAATATTTTATTATTGTTATAATATTGTTGTAACAAATGGTTTTTCTCAGTAGGGTTTCTGCCTTATATTATCTGTATAAAATACACTTTATAATTTTGTTGTTGTTGTGTGCTATAATGATGCGTTAATGTTTTATAAAAGCAAATATTACCGTGGTATAATTTACTTAAATTATACCTATTTGCTCATTAACATCGTGTCTACATTGTCATCAAATATCACGATCGCTAACTGAGTTTCCTTTCACGCAGGTTTCCAAAACAGATCCCTCTCCCAAGAGAGAGATGCCGACGATGATACTGTTCAACGTGGTGTTTGCATTGAGGGTATGAAAACATTTCTCACGAAATTATATTCATTGGTGCAATTATTGGGGCAGTGGTGGCTTAGTGGTTAAGGGAGCAGACTTGGGTCCAGAAGGTTTCAGGTCCGAGTCCACCAGCTGCCAAGTTACCACTGAGGTGCTCTGAGCACGGCACCGTCCCCACACACTGCTCCCCGTTGTTCACTTTGGTGATGGGTTAAAAGCAAAACCATGACAAGGAGTTCACTTTACTTATTGTTTGTGCTACAAAATGCCAAAAAAAAAAAAATCTAAAAACTTAAAAAAAAAACCCTACATTGTATTAATCACTAATTGTGACATAATTTAGGTTGACACAATTAAGTCAGCCGACTGTGGGTGGGTTTTGTGTGTGTTTATCAGCGTGGGGTGTGAGTGTGTGTAAGTGATAATGCTTCTGTGTGTTGTTGGAGGAAGGAGGGACCTGGCGTCTCTGCTTTATCGTTGCTGTTCAGCCGGGCACAGCCCATGCTGAGTCACCGTACCTGGGAGGTCGGATTGAACCTGAACTATGGCCAGAAAATGCTCTGTCATACTTTCTCAACATACACACACAGCTTTAATTTAGATGTTAGACAATGTATTCACACAGATGCTGAAAATCATTGGACTCTGAGTATGCAGTTAAAACTAGACTCTAGTCCAGTTAGGCATGGGCAAACTAAGGCCCGGGGGCCGGATGTGGCCCGTTCAGGTTTTTAATCTGGCCCGCCAAACTTTTCCAAAATTATATAATTAATTTATATTATCATTATACTTCTGCCTTTTCCCTGCAATACCTATGTTTTCCCAATAGATGGCATAGAAAATGATAAAACATTTTAGCCTTAATGCATGACTTTTACATGTCATTTATCTCAGTTCACACAAACACTCCATCGATCTGCTCCAGACCCCTGTTATAGTCTATTATCAGAATCCAAGTTGAATTACTATGGATTACAACACAGTTTTATGAATTCAGATAGAATTTATTCAGTTACGTGACACTCTTTTAAAAGCAAACAAGTACAAGTATATTAGATATTTAGTAATATTCATTCATATTTAATGAAATATAATTTTACAAATAAATCCTGAACATGAAGTGTATATGTATTATATTTATTATTATAGAAATCCATCAAGCGGGCCAGATTGAACATCATAGTGGGCTGGTTTGGGCCCCTGGGCTTCATGTTTGACACCCCAAGGCTAATAAGACTGACCCAGTACCTCAGTGTCACCTCAGTGAACTATTTGAAGTATAGAAATAAATGAAATCATTACATATATATATAATTCCTAATACTTACTATTGCTTTTTCCGATGTAAGATTTTACAGATGTATGATATAGCGGGAATGCTAACCACCACATATGAAGTTTTATTTTGTGAAGTGAAGGCGCTGCAGCTTTCCCACGTGTCCTGGAAAATCTGGAAAACTATTAATCAATTTTCCAGTCATGCAAAACATATGGGGAATGAGAAAAAAAAAATAGGTCCTGAAAATGTTTAAGTTATCCTGGAAAATGATTTATCCTCCCTCCTGCCTTGTGAGCTTGTCTTCTGGGCAACATTAAGGCCCGTTGCTTCTCTGCTTCTGGCTGGCGCAGCGCCCCACATCACATGACTCTACCAGCCAATCAAATTTGCTTTTCTGCCTAGAGCGGCATTCTACATCTGGTGTGTTGCAACATATCGTTTCATGATCTCTCTCGTTCCTCTGGGCACCATACAGGCCAACGCAGACCTCTCCGTCATCAACTGCATGCACAACCTGTCACGTCGTATAGCCATCGCCCTCCAGCACGAGGAGCTGCGGTGCCAGTATCTGACCAGGGAGGCCAAGCTGATGCTCGCCGTTCAAGAGGAGATCACGACCGTGACTGAGAGTGAGACGCACACGTCACAGACCTTCGTCTTCCGTAGTGATGAAACGCGAAATTCAAATTTGAATGCATGATCCCCCTTTTCCATCAGACCTTTTTGACAAAACAAAAAAGGAATATTTTGTATTATATTTAACCTCTTTTTGTTTGATGACATTTTTAAATTCAGAAATGAAAGTTTGCAACACATTTACAATAAAAAAAGTTAAACTATATAGAGATGGGATCATCCGATATTCAGGATCATTATTGATTTGTTATTGGTCAAAATTTCAGGATTGAATATTTATAAAGAAAATTAAAAAAAAAACTACAGCCTGTCTGATCCGACACCTAAGCCCAAATGCTCAAGTTAGCTTTGCGCTAGATGCTATAAACAGGGAAACTATCACCCCGGCAACAGCAGCCTGAGGCATGCTGGAGGAGAAAAGCAGGTATCGGATTGATGTCGGTATCGACAGATACTCCAAGTTGACCAAATATCAGACATACATAGTCATAGAAAAAAAAATTCATAACTGAATCTGGCTTCGGCAGAAGAAACCATGTTGATTTCAGGAACCACATCAAAACATCAGGACTTATTACAAAATTATTGACTGACAATTTTCTCTTGTTGACAGCGAATGGAAGCCCTCAGTCCCCATTCAGACAAATACTTCCCAAATGCAAACTGGCGATGGACCTGAAGGAGGCGTATGACTGGTATGTGGTTGAACGTCTTTTTTTTTTTTTTTACTTTACTTTTTTGTCCTTCTCTTGCTCATGTTATTTACCTACTATGAGTATAACTGTACTTTTTCTATTTATTATTATTTATTTATTATTTTGTATGTTTACTGTAGCGTGATTGTTGATTGACTGACTCAAATTGTAAGTCGCTTTACGTATTGTGATGTAATGTAATATTTCTATAATTTTATCTCAGATAAAATGAAGTTTGTTTCTTAAAAAAAAACAGTTAATAGTTATTTGTCCATACAAATGACTCCGTGTTTGTTTCAGTTTACATGCTATATTCTTTTTCGATGTTTTTTTTTTCAGCCTCTGTACCACTGGTGTGGTGCGTCTGCACATCAACAACTGGCTGGAGGTGAGTTTCTGTTTACCGCACAAGATTCACAGGATCAGCGGCAAACACCTACCTCCAGAGGCGCTGGAGCGCAGCCTTAAGGCAATAAGGTGAAAAAGCATTTTAATGTTTGACTGTATTAGCCTGTTTATGACATAGAAATATTTATTTGTACTCAATACTCTTTGAACATAAAAAGAAAATACAGAATTTTATCTCAGTGTTGGGTCAAAATTGTTTTTGCCGACACTGCCACCCAGTGTCTGTTTATATTGTCTACAACAGTATCTCTGCCTTTCCTTTTTTTTTAGATTAATTATATTTTTGACTTATATTTAACAATAGTTTGTTTGCAGGATACAAACATTTTTTGCAATATTAAAATTGACATATAAAGGTCTATATTTATTAAATATTTTAACCTAATTTTGCATTTTTACATTCCTAAATAATTGTTTTAATTTTTACTGATCCTTTAAGGTACATACATTTCCCTGTTTTTTTTTTAAATAACTTTTTATGCAATAGGTACATACATTTTCCTGTTTTTTTTTTTTTTTTTTAAATAACTTTTTATGCAACTTGACTGTGGCTAACTTGTCTTGTTCTGTAATGAAAAGCTAATTTATAATATAATATAAATTACAATACAATATAGTTTGTGTGTCATAGCTAATTTGAACTAAACCTGTTTTTTTTTGTATTGTCCTACATCAGTAAGCTCCATAATAATAATATACATTTCCTGACTCTGTAGACCTTACCATGCTCTGCTGCTGCTGGAGAGTGAAAAGGCTTTGCTCAGCCAACTTCCTCTGGACTGTTCGTCAGCGATGGTTCGTCTGATCAAGACGTGCTCACCCGTAAAAAACCTCCAGCAGCTTGCCCAGGATTCAGACCTGGCTCTGCTTCAGGTATAAACCAGTCACACCAATGAGCGGCAGCTTATCACTGAGGCTTTGGACAAATCAAAAGAGATAAAAAAAATAAATAAACTGGACAGAAGTTTTACTCTTTATATACAGTATGTTTTGAAGGAGGTCAAAGAAGAAGTATAGTATTATCGTACTGCCATCTAGTGGATGACATTTATCTTAGTCAGTTTCCATGAGCAACCAAAGTGAATATTTTCTTTTGCATGAAACTTTTAGCCTTGAGCCTTTTTGTCTTTTAGCCTTAATCCAGAATGTTGTCTTTGCTCAGATTTTTCAAATTGCTGCTCACCTGGTGTATTGGGGCAAAGCCATCATCATCTACCCGCTGTGTGAAAACAACGTGTACATGCTGTCTCCTCATGCCCACATCTGCCTGTGAGTGTCTGTATAAATTACATTATGAGTGTTGAATAAGATTTATTTCAGAAGTTTACTTAGTGATATACAGACAAATACTTTTAATAGGATTAGTGTTAATGTTAATGTTATGTTAATCTCTAAATGCACTCGTTACTGAAATGAGTCCTGCGAAAAGCTCTTCTCTGAAAAGAATTAAAATAGATATAGAATGACTTTAGAATAATAGAAAATAAAATATGTATAAAAACAACAAATATTAAACATTAAAGATACTTTACACTGACATTTATAACACTCGAAACATGGAACCGATATTTGCGATACTTTTATATCATAATAGTGAATATATAATCAGTAATAATATAAACAATATTATAATAAAACACGTATATGCACCTAATGGCCTACATTATACTTTAAGGGTCGCTTGTTGTCACTTTCATTTACCTGTCAGCTAAGACCCTAACATAGTTTGTTTCATATTAAAACATTTGAAAGGTTAATGGAAATGCTTTGCGTCTCTCTCCCTGGACAGATTCTCATCACAGGCTGAGCACTTCGCCCAACAGTTTCCTGGTCAAGACCTGCCCTCCATGTTGTCCAAATTCTCCCTTCCTGTCTCACTGGCTGAGTTCCGAAATCCCCTGGAAGCTCCTGCACAGGAGGTATGGACGGATGAATGGATCTTTATTGTCGTTATACACGTGTTTAAAACACGGTGCAATCAAATTTAAAGAGAGTTTTTTTACATTGATTTCTACATATGTAAATACACACATTTAAAAGAGTAATAAATAAGAAACAGGGATGCAAGTAATAAGGAAGCTGTGACTGTACGAGTGTTTGCAACGCACACATGCAGCCACAAGAGGCACCGTTTAATATGTGGTTCCTCTGGGAATCGAACTCAGGACCCGCTGCATGTAAGGCAGATGTGTAAGGCAGGCATGATAACTGCTACATTATGGAACTAAATTTAATCTCTGTTTAAACATTTACATTTAAGATTAACATAAGATGTAAACAATAAGTCAAAAATGCAAAAATAGGGCAAAATGTTAACGTGAAATTAAAGTTTCGCGTTACAATGACAATAAAGACCATAAATAAAAAATGTAAATATGTTTAAAAGTTAAATTGAGCCATAACTATAAGAACAAGAATTATTCATGTTTAAAAGTTAAATTAGTTTTTTATTAGTTTTTTATTTAGTTTTTTATTTGGTGTGTCAGTTTGAGGAAGAAGCTCTTCCTTTAGTATGATGATATTATATATATTACTTTATTGCAGTAATGTATTATTCTTTATTTCAGAAAAATAGACACACTGGCCAGGTTTAGTTTTTATTTATCTTTTTCTGTACTGATAGATTTATTTGCTTTATTCTAGATTGGAAAAAAACAATATGAAGGTTCTTTGCTTTTTTTTCAATCTCTGAAGTAATTCCTACTAAGAGATTGTGTGCTTATAGAAACAAGCTGACAGAATAAATCTCAATTAAAAAAAAACCCAGACAAACAAGAAGCCATAACTATAAGAACAAGAATTATTCTGTCCAAATCATATGGATTTAAATTGGCTGAGCTGTTTGAGCAGCAATAAACTATATACATACCAAAGGAAAATCAACTCTGCTGCCTGGAGCTGTATTTTTTAAGGAGACTACAGTAAATCAGCCTGCCAGCATGAGCACGTTAATAATGTTCAATATCAGATCCATCATTTTGGTCTTGATCGTTTCTTCACCCAGGCCCAGCTGATCCATATGGTGGTGTGGATGCTTCAGCGCCGTCTCCTGATCCAGCTGCACACTTATGTCTGTCTGTTGGTGCCGCCCAGCGAAGATGAGCCGGGACCGAGGGAGGATGACCTCCCGCTGGCGGCCAGGGTCGGAGGGCACAGTCTCAGTACACCCAGTGCTCTCAGCTTTGGTTCTCCAAGTACGACCTCTACCACCTGTAGCAAATGCTGGTTATTTTGGTGCAAATATGTTGAACACTTTTAGTTAAAAACATACCAATACTGTGTATAAATCAGGGGTCACAGCCCCGTGGACTACCTAAGGTGCCCGTGGGGTTTGTTCTAAAAACAAAACTAGTCAACAACAGGGTCAAAAATTATACTGTTACTGTGCTTTTTGGATCAGTTAGACTTACAGTGTGTCTACTATTACGTACATCTACTGTTGTATGTCCCAGAAACTACTGTATTTTCCGGACTATAAGTCTATAAAACTATAAGTTTTTTAATCCTTTAGCTTTGAACTTTGTGACTTATACAGGAGCATCTTTTATATTAAAATATATCATTTCACATGTTTGGTATTTTCACACTGACAGCCACCAGAGGGCACCCTAGGCTTGTGTACCAGTATCTACTACTCCAGTGCCACAGAAACTTTACGTCTGTTATTTTCACACCGACAGCCACTAGAGGGAACTCTAGTAATTTTTTTCTTTTTTTTTATCCTTGTGTAACCTATACTGCGGAGCAACTTATAGTCCGGAAAATATGGGAATTCATGTTATATTGTTTGTGAAGTCAGGTTGGTGACCCCTGATGATCTTCTGCCTCTTCTCTGTGCAGCCAGCAGTGATGACATGACCCTGACCAGTCCCAGCATGGACAACTCCAGTGCGGAGCTGCTGCCTAGTGGAGACTCGCCGCTGAACAAGAGGATGACAGAGACGCTGCTCGCCAGCCTGTCAGAGCATGAACGACAGGTTATTCTCAACATCCCTGCCGCACAAAATCCAGAGGATTTACGGATGTTTGCCAGGTAGATTAAACAGCCATTACAATGTGTGTTAGCGAATGTAGTTCATTAGAATTTCTGCCTTAAAAGAAACTGCACTTCCAACATAAGTCAAGGACCCCCTGTATTTGGAGAGGAAAGAGATATAGTTGACAGTTAATTTTCCAGTTAAACTCTAGATCTCGTCAATGTCCTTCACCTTTCGCTGTCCGTTGCCCACAGGCTCTTACATTATTTCCGGGGACATCATCACCTGGAAGAGATCATGTACAACGAAAACATGAGACGCTCGCAGTTGAAGACGCTGTTCGACAAGTTTCGCAGTGTCCTCGTGGTGACCAACCATGAGGATCCAATCATCTCCATCTTTCAATCGCCCGTGGAATAGTGGTGGGCACACACTTGGCTTGAGCTCATGGTGAAGTGAAGAATCTGAAGAAATGCTGCGTTAACAGCAGCAGTGACATTTCTTTTAAAACTCGATATTTGCACTGACATTTGCAGATACACACAACAGATGCACAAAGTCATACGAGCCAAATGTTAGTTTACAGTATTAAATTATTTTCGACACCTGTGACGTCCGTGTGAATTTAATGTAGATTGCTTAAATGATGACCCAGTTACCCTGGAATTCTGTGTTCCAATCATATGCCCAGTGTGACTATCTGAGAGATGACGCAGACTAACAGAGTTTTTTTTCTACTAACAAATTTAATTTGCCCCACTGCATGCGACCAGTAAAGACTAATCAGAAGAATTAAGAATTAAGAATTGAGATGTTTTCTCCGCAGTGGAGTGACCTTCGCGTAGACGGCCCCATAACGTCCCTGATGAAGGTATGTTCAATTCAACATCATGACTAGTTCATATACAATCACACATTATCTGATACAATTTCCTCCCCTTATATATCCATTGCAGCTGTGTATTAAACGTGTATTAAACCCTGCTGAAGCTCAGCCGCTATTGGCTTTTATAGAGCAGCATGACATAGCATTTCTTTTACTGCTAAAGCTGCATACTGATTGGCTATAAAACACTCCCAAAGAAGACAGGGAGTTGTGAGTCAATGACTGTTTGATGACACGGAAACTTTGCATAATGACGACTAATGGTTTAGGAGGCAGAACTACTTTGTCAGTGACAACACTTCTAAAAATAATGCACTAGGGCAGTTTCAGTGACACACCTAGGCAGAGTTTGCCAGTGCACGTCATAATATAGCAATATTTCTTTTTGTATATAAACTGTAAAATGACTCAGTTCTTACTTTTATCTTAGAATAATTTATTTTTATTTATTGCTATTCATATATAATTTATTTTACATTTCAAACTAAAACACATTGGAGGTGTATGACTTGCATACATTAGGATCAATGTAGGCAACATTTAATTATTTTGTCATGAAATGCAAACATACAACATAAATTCAGACAATTTCATTGATTTAAATCATTAATCATCCTTTATGTCCTAGTAGCATGTAGCATACAGTATACATATTCAATTGTCAAAATCATTTAGATTTTTTTATACATATACAGTATACATATTCAATTGTCAATTGTCAAAATCATTTAGATTTTTTTTTTCAATACGTCCACAGAAACAAGAAAAATCTGTCAAATTTACAGTCAGTCCTTACAGCCTCGCAGGTATGGAGTAAACTTTCATCATCCACTCGCCTACATGTGTCACATCATCTACAATGACCCCACTGTAATGATTATTCCAGACCGGGAGCTACATCTTCCTCTCATTCTCCCCGAGGGTGAAGTGAGAAAGACGGCAGGAAGGGAAAAAAAGAAGCAGGAAGACAGGTAACATGACACTGGCTGTTTTTGTTGAGAGGAGATCCTGGTGATCCTTACATCTGTGAAATCGCTGAGAAATGATGGGCCTATAATAAATGTTTAAAAGACAGATGTGTGACCTGGGTCGGGACCGGGGAGTGTAGTTACGAGTCAGAAGTTTTAAAAGACCTGAGAAAAGAGATGCCATCACTTTTAGTGTCACTTTTAAAAACCACCATTTTCAGGTCGGAAAGGGTCACTATGACCAGGAGTAGTTGCACCAAAGCTTTGACATTTTCTGCTGTGACACATCAGTGCTTAAAGGTCACAATATTATGCATTCCGGCATTTAATATTTGTAAAATAAATACAAAATAACTCACTGGTTTCTGACATTCAGGTCTGACTCTAATGTAAAACAATGTGTGTTTTAGACGTGGTAAGACTATTAGGATAAAGTTAGAACTAACGTTGGACTTTTTGACTATCAGTTCAACAGTTGGGAAATTAACTTAAATAAAATGTAATTAGGCGTAATGACAGCTCTAATGATTGAATTGAGAATATTTTAAAAATACAAGGCTGTTGGACAGTCTGGTAATAAAGTCCACAAACAAACACATTGTAGATACAGTAATACACCCATCACGTCACATTGACAGTTGTGCGTTCGCTGTTCCTACTCAAATCTGACGGATGCGTGTCATTCATTTCGTTTACAGATTCCTGCTTTCTTTCCGCTTCTTTGTTCACCACGCTGACACAAGGATGACCACGAAGATAAAACCGCCACGGCTTCTTGGCCCATTCACCGTGAGACTCGATTCCGACCCGCGCTGCGGACACGATATTTTCAGGGTCTACAGGACTGGCGTTGGGGTCCTCCTCCAGCCATACCTCTGGATCTGAGGCAAGGTCTCTACGGTCAAGACAACGGGTTATGTTCAGAGCCTGGCACAGTTTGGAGGGCCCGTTGCAGAGTTCTCTGTCCTTAAGTTTTCGTCCTTCTGTTTTTCGCCTAGCTGACCTCAGCTGTTCCATGATGGAGTGACCCTGCAGGGGCTCAGCGGAGCGCAGCAACACAGCAGCCCCCTCCCCTGCAAAACAGACATCACACAGAAAGCATCAATCAACAAGGTTTTTATGCTGTTTCCTGTCCTTTTCGCCCCCTCTTTATAATCCTCCGTTGCTTTAATGTTATTCAAAAGGAAAACACGAAGCAGGTGTTTTCCCTCAGGTAACATCAGGTCCTTTTTTTTTTTTTTTTTACCTTCACTAGACACGTTCATACAGAGGTAGATGCCGTAAATTGGATACACATAAATCGTGCCCGGCTTCATGAACATGGCAGTGTTCCTTTCAGTGCGTTTGCCTCCGGCTGAGTGAGAAGCTTTGTCCTCGCCTCCAAGGTAAGATTCAGTCTCAACAATTCTTCCTCGCAGCTCACCCTCTGCACACCTGCGCACCAACACCTACAGAGACACAGCAGGTTACAAGTAAGATTAAATTACAAGGACATGGTTAAACAATGCAGCACTTCATCAAATATCGTCAATATCTTTCTCCATAGTATGGTTGCTAGTAAAAACGTGTTATTACATTTGTTGAAATTGCCCGCCGAATGTTATATCTGCTGGTTATTAATAGAATTTGAGAGTTTGAGGTTTGGGTGGCTGTACGCAAAAACGGGCTGGAGGGGGAGCTCAAGAGACGTGATGGGGCGTCATTTTAGCAACACAAGACGTGGTAAGGACAGGACAAAATAATAATAATAATAATAATAATAATAATAATAATAATAATTTAAAACTAAATTAAGTCTGGATGACAAAATAAAAAGACAAATCTTGTTTTCTGAAATGATACCAGGAAACCAGATAACAAAACGTCAACGTCATTATGTCCATTTAAACCTGACAACGGACCACACCGTATATTTAGATGAGTTACAAGATTTAGGTTTGCCTTTAAAAATTAAAAATAAATCACGTGCCCTTGTGTATTAGTGAAATACGACCTGTGCCACTACTGCCAACTCCTAAAGCCTCACCTTTCCCAGAAGCGCTTTGGCTAAACTGATACAAGGCTGTTGGAAAAACTCTTCTCCCAGTCGCTGCTGCCGATTCTTTTCACTGAAATAATGACTTTTCTCCTGTTGTTCTGTAACGTCATTTTGATCCTTTAGTTTGGCATGTTTTTGCTTTGTGTGTTTACTTGGGGTTTTTCCTGCTGTTGCTACTGTCATCTTTCTTTTTATCCCTGCCATCGTGCTGTGTCCCAAAAAACACGTTAACCACGCTGCGATAGTTTCTAAATTATTTCGCCAGCACTTTTAGAAACAACTGGTGCCTTATCTTTTTAAAAGTTGTCGTCGAAATGAATTACCATCGATGCTTAGCAAAACATAACAAGCCGGAAATACGCGACCGTTTTCCTTAAAGGGACCGCGCTGCTTTGTTTACATCGGAAGTGAACCAGCACTTCCGGTGCGTCTTCTCTTGCATCTAATGGTCGTTGCCAATTTAACTGTTCCATTTGGACCCTAGGTGGTAACTGAGGCAGTAATAAAAATTAGAAAATATCCAAGTACTATTTGCAAAACGTTTTTTTTTTCACAAATTTTTGTATCAAATTTAGATTAGTAAGAGAGAGAGAGTAGATTTAATTTCTTCAAAAATAAGAGAGAGTAGATTTAATTTCTTCAAAATGGCATACTACTACATCCAAAACAATTTTGTAGGGTTAGCTAACTATTGTTTTTATTTTTATTTTAGGTAAATAAATTATAAATTCATTAAATAATACATTTATTTATAGTTTGTGATTGTGTTTAAGTCCCCAGCTGTCAGAAGAAAAACGAAGTAAATGTGTCTTGTATTTTCTTTCCTGCCACATTGTAACTACTAAATTAGCCCAACAGTTAACCCACCCTTCCAATGGCCTTTTCCTGCTGCTGTCTTATCAGCTGAGTCTCATTTAACAACAGCCCCCTACAATAAGAAGTTATAAATAGAACCAGTGTTTGCCTGCTGGTGCCCGGGAAGTTGATGGCGCCAGTTGGACCCAGGCACTGATGGTCCAGTGTGTGCCAAAGTCTTACCACTGATTGAGTTTTATTAAGAATATCCAGGAATGTAAATTTACTTGTTATTAACAGTATTGGCGACTAGTGTAATTGTGTGTGTGGTTTCCTGCGGATCTGTGTCGATAGATATTAATATTCACACAATAACAACTGAATTGCTTCTTCTACATGTACGTATTGTTACCAGATTGCAGAAAAATATATGAGAAAATATATGAAATTGTTTATAGAACGAATTGAAGTGAAGTATACCAGCCTGGACTGGGGCTTAGTCGTTGAAATTCCTAAAATTCTTTGTCCAAATATTTGAGTAGTTAGAAATAACTGAAAGTTACTTTTCTTTCTTTTTTTTATTGCCTATAACTGCTGAGCTTTTTCAAATTTAAATCTAACTTTAATAACATTACAACACGAGGCGCAGTGAGTTTATGATTATAGTGGAGCCTTATCATGTTTTTACTTTTGTCTGCTACTGGTTGAAGGCCATTGTTTGCTTCGACTGTCTATACTTTTGAGGTCTGAGTCAGCCGCTTTTCACTGTCGTTGCCCCTCGTATATAATCTCAGCCACCACAGCTTGTCATCAACATTTCACTCTGGATTGTTTTCATTTCCACATCAGCGGTAGTGACACCAAGCCGTAGTCTCTTCTGTGTGGCCATATAGAAACACAGGATGCACCCAAGCTGACAGTAACACATGCATTGGCACGGGGGCTATTTACAGTTACTGGCTTTTATTGTTCAGTTTCTTTCAATCGATCCAATATCTAACTGTTATTCTTTTTCAAGGTCACGTGGGGGCGCAGTCACAAAGAGAGACGCGATATAGTTGACGCTAGCATTCCTCAGTTATGGCAGCATTAACGAAGTGGGCTCATAAAGAAAACGTCAGAACTTTATGTTCCCAGTCAGGATGGCCGAGCGGTCTAAGGCGCTGCGTTCAGGTCGCAGTCTCCCCTGGAGGCGTGGGTTCGAATCCCACTTCTGACAGAAATCTTTTTGAAACGTTGTGAATTAGAGGACACCTAACATACTGTACATGTACAGCCAAGTAGTTATTTTATGGAAAACATTGATAATCGCTTTTACTTCTTTATTTTACTTATTTTCACAAAAGGTTCGTTAACCTGTAAATTGAATTAGAAATATTTATAAATATTTTTTTTATTAAGCAAATGATAAATGTTACACTTAAAAAGGTCAGCGACAGTTCACGCTCGTAAATCATTAGTCGGGCACTGAATATTTAGCCATCCCAGATGTTTGTTGTATCGATTTGATCTGCTGTGGAATCCCCGGTCCCATGACCTTTCTCCTTTTCTGTCCGTCAGCAGTTAATGGCACTTTCTGTTTATACATAACTACTTGACTTGTTATTATGGAAGAAAATACATATAGTTTCAGTAGGGCAGCAGCTGTAGCAGCACAGAAAAGAACTGACTATGTTGTCTTGTCTCTTTGTCTCGTGGCTGTGACGTGACCGTGACCCAGAGCCTCAGACAAATTCCATAGACATGGCTTCGGCAAAAGGAACAAATTATGAATATAATGTTTGACATTTGAGGTCAAGACAGTTTGCTAACATTCGGCTCATGCGGTACGTGGCTCGTGCGGTACGTGGCTCGTGCGGTACGCGGCCATCCAGCCAAACTTGGTCGTCTCCACCGTGAAAGTACCAGGCACGATTGCACACCATGTCATCCATTTACCAAACCATGTATGAAGAAAAAAGGCCACATGTGGTCTGACCGCCACAGGAATGGTAGTCAGTCCTCCACTTCTCGACTAAATCCCGAGAACAAACTGGTTTAACGAACCTTGTGACAACATCCCTAGGGTTAAATATTACCCTTCAACTCAACCTCTTTATCTGTGTCTGACTGATGTAGGATCAGAGGGCCCCCGAGGGCTCCTACACATCCTGCATCCATTCCTAAACACCGCCGTGCTCTAGTTTCCGTCCTCCTTCCGGCTCTCAGGGGAATGTTAACTGTTAGTTACTCTAGCTCTGTGGTTTATCAATCAGGGACTCTCCGAGGGCTCTGAACGGTCTTTACATACCGACAAGATTTGACGAAAGCCCATAAACTTATTCCTGTACTGGAAAAGATATAATTCACCTCATTTAGAAGCATGACTCTGAAGCATCTCTACTTGCAGGGCGGACATAAGTCACACTTGCGGAGGCACAACCCATAGGTGCAATACATTCAGCTAAGAGAAAGCTTCTACCGCTACGGCCGAGACTACTTCTGACATGAGTTACTTTGGTCTGGTTTCACTACATAAAAAAATGAAAATATACTTGAATAATTTTCAGTTCAGATTCCATTGCAGGTTGGCCGATCTTATCGGCGCGATATTAGCATAATGATGTAATATCGGTAAGATCGTTATCGGTTTTACATCCGATAATGAAAATCCTATAACACGTTGCCTGGGTTTTGCCAAATTTGCTGGAATCGAACGTAGGGTCCTGAGATGTTTACCTCAGTTTTGGGGACAAACGGCTGCATATATCGGTATCAGTTGATATCGGAATCGGAAATTAAGCATTTGGTATGTTGGATATAGGCAAAAAGTTAAAATATTGGACATCCCCAGATATAACCTTTTTAGCCGATAATGATATATGCGTCTGTTGGCAGTGCATCACAAAAATATGCGGAATATATAGCAGAGGCTCAAGCAGAAATAAATCTTTGCTCCCAAAGTTTGTGCCGGACCTCTTGAGAGAATTGTATGTCAGTTTTAAAACAGGACTCCTGTCCTGGCACCATCTGCATTTAATTCCGTGTGTGCTTCAGAAAAAAAGATTTCGGATGACAGTCATAAAATGTACGTGTGTATATGGCCCTGGATTGAAACATGCTGAAATGACATGACCTTGGAGAACTCAGACTGTTATGTTTTGGAACGTCATTGGCAAAGCCACATGGCCTTGGTCTCACGACACGGTGGTCTGCACTGCATGAAACCAACAAAGACTACAACTACAAAGATTTTCCCTTTTCGCGGCGGGTCTTGGAACGCAACTACCGCGATAGGAGAGGGACCACTGTGCGCTTGTTTTCATGTGATTGAATCACAGCGTGCAGTCTCTTGAATCAGAACCCCTTAGTCACCGCCGGTAACTGGATGAAACAGCGCCTCCCCGTGTTCACACACACACCGCTGATCTTGATTACGAGTCGCCTCCTCGTCTGTAGTACAGGGCGGGGCTCACTTGCTATGTCTCCACTACCACACTGAATTTCAGCTACAACACCCCGGCACACGGCGGAGAACTTAGCCGGCCTCGATCCATGGAGCAGCGGTGTGGGAATGCTGCTCCGTCCGTGGGTAAGAAACACAGAGCAGGACGTTTGAGCCTCACCCACGGCACAGGAACTGCTTCAATGCTGCCGCCGCCGCCACAGCTGCCGTGTCAGGACCAGTGACTGGATCTAAAGCGCTACAGCAGCGGGACTCTGGTCCAATAAAAGAGAGAGAGAAAAAAAAGAGACAGAAACATCTGTGGGAGAGTGGAAATAAGCGGGGTTTCTTGACAAGAGGATGTGACCAATCACTACCCTGCTGGCCAGAGGAAAATACGTGGAGTGGACGAGGATAATTTTTGAAATCTGTCAGAATTATCACCATTTTTTTCCGCTGCTGGAGATCATCTGAGCGGCTTGTCCTAAGGGTGAGTTATATGATCATTTCGTGACGGTGTGGTCGAAAGCAGCAGCGGCGGCAGCTGGAGGAAGCGCTGTTCACACGCGTCGTGATCGTGGATGATAGATCGCGAGGCTTACCAAAAAAAAAAAAAAACCGCTTCGTTTGATCGCTTCATATACAATGTGAAGTTATTTGGAATCATGATTCATTCAGGGGACTTTAGTAACGTGGTGGTGAAATGCTTGTGTGCTCTAATTGGTCTGTCAACCTTTACCAAAAAGTGTTAAATGCCTAGGGGCGTTTCGGAGTACCTGGGGGTCGTAGCCCCCCCCACCATAACAATCCTAACGTACTGTACTAAGGCCCAGCCAGTATCGCAGAACTGAATGACATGTATAATGGAATAAGCAAATGAAACCTACTCGCCTTAATAATTTAAAATCCAATCATTAATTCTTGAACCATTATCAAACTCAAGGCCCGCGGCCCAAATGCGGCCCGCCAAGTCATTTTGTGTGGCCCACGTTTCATTGCCTACTTCCTTGCTGCTGATTTTCTTAACCAGATTTTCTTTTATTACACAGAGCAGTTGCGTATATATTTTATTTAAATTTAGGAACAACATTTGATCGTCCATCTAAACTCTGGTTTCAGTTATCTTCGTGATTTCACAAGAGATGGGCGATTTTTGTAATCGTGATCCTAGGAAAACAGACGGCGGACAATGTGTGGACTGTTTGAGCTCTTGGACATGGCAGTGTTGTGCTTCCTGTTGGACGCTTGCAATGTGCTTGGTTGCAAACTCAAATAGACAAAGACAACATAGTATTGGCCACATTCTTTCTCAGCGCTGTGCTAAGGTCGTTACCCGTGACCTTTCTGATTAAATTATCAAAACAATCCTGGTCGCATCCCGGTATATGTGTTGTCATTGTGTACAGTTAATGCAGCTGCGGAGTTCAGATACGCCATGTCCCATGTGATCAATGTGGACATTGACTTGACCTTACTTTGGACCGTAGTTAATATTAGCAAATTTTTAATTGTGGATAGCTCTGTAGAGAATCTCAGTCATTCAGGACATGACATCATGGGGAACGTTGCTCTAAGCTACTGGACGTGCCTGAAGCACCCTCACAGGGTTTGATGAAGCCTCTTGGCTGAAAGATGAAATGTCATGTAAAAATTGAAGCGCTGGCATCTGTTGTCCTCCGGGCACGCTGATATTATAATTTTCTCTGTGCGAGCCGTACGTCCTGATGACTTGTGCCATGAACGTTTCCCCAAGCAGTTGCCTGTTTCGGCCTCTCTAAAACGCCCCACGGAAATGTATAAAGTTTTCGGAATATTAATGATTCTGACCGGCTTACCATTGAAATGATTCTTGGATGTGAAATTACAGTGCTTTTTGTATTACAGTCTTTAGATTCTACTGTTTATTTATATTTACAGACAAATTGATTGCTTAAAAGCAGATAGTTTCAACATGGGGTCAAAAAGAATCCAGTCATATCCCTTTAGTTTTTTCATTTAAAGATAATCTGTCAATGTTTGAAAACAACAGGTCATTCAGACTCCGATACTAACAGAATAAATTCTGAAGGATGTTTTATTTTGAAAAGTTAATGATCCTTCAACGATGGCGCGGTTTTACCGGCCTCAGTGTATGTTGTAAATATTCGTGGACATGAGAACTGTTGTAGCAAATTATTGAAGGCGAAATAAGATGTTGTCTATATATGATTCTAGTTCTGGTTTAGTAAAAGTATGGTACCCTGTGTGGTCTCTTGATCAGTTTGCAGTTTCTCTGCCTTAAAAATTTGGAAGACCCCCTACTTTAAGTCAAGTCTCTGTCCATTAGCTGCTGTGGAAAAGGAACATAGCGCAACCTATTGGTGGAATACACGTCTATGAGAATGCTGTTAAATCATATTGTTTTACATTTTGTCATATCGCACCCTGGCCTTCTACTGCTGACACTGCACTTCCCTTCCCTCCCCGCCCCCCCACCTCCTTTCACTTCTGGTTCGTATCATCTTCCTCAGATGTGCCTGTTTATACTGTTGAAATATATTTTTTTTATACAGCACATACAGTATCCGCTGAGATATTTTTTTTTATACAGCACATACAGTATCCCGGTGTTGCGTAACCAATGAAGACAATCAAGGTGAAAACAGTAAAAGACACCGTCTTCCACAGCTTTGAACTTTCAGAATGTCTTTTCTTTCTTGGACCATTGTGTCTTTTGACATGTGGTGACTCATTGTGACACACCATGGCAGCAAGGCGGAAAAAAAAATTCCCACAAAAGTCCCACACATGAAGCTGGGGGGGAGGCATCTGTAGAGTGACTCACTGAACTAAGGGTCTCCGAGTTTTTCAGTGTGGCCCAGATTTGACAGTATAGGAGTATCCTATGGCCAACTGCTGCTTTTGTGAAACACAAAGCTATTATGAACTGGCATACAAATGCATTAAAGTGTAACTGCTTTTTGTTGAACTGCCAATGTAATTTAATACAAACTGCCCTCCTCAGGACTAATGCATTTAATGGTTTCTAATGTAAGATTTAATGCTAAGCCAAACTAAAATATCGGTTTTTAATGCTTAGCCAAACTAAGGCTAATGCTAAGCCAAACTAAAATATCGGTTAAGAGTTAGCTAAGGCTAAAAATAGCTTAATAAGTAATCCAAAAACAGCTATAATAAAAATAAATCAGTTCCGGCCCTCTTAAAAAACTCTCTTATTAGTGCGAATAACAATGGAAAAAACATTTTTTAATTGCTATAGAGACATACACATACAAAACAATTATCCATTATAGTTAATAAGGATTCCTGTGATATAAAATAAAATGTGGTTTTAATGAGGAGTTCTTACCTTCAAGACAGACGATACAGTAGCTGCTAATGGCGTCATGTGCGGAGGAGGAGGAAGGGAGGGAGTTGGCCCGTACGACAATTTATTTCCATGGTCATCATGCATTTCTCCTTTCACTACCATCCTTACCACTCACTTTCTTAGGACTCATCACTATTTTGAAGAATAAATCACAAAATAGAGAGAAAACCACGTAGATAACGCAAACACAATAAGGAAGACTCGCGGGAGATGCGTACAGAGGTCAACGGAGAACGTGAAGTGAACGAGTAAAGCGATGTGGGGGTTAGGGTTAGCTCTGAGTGCTCGGTCACCTAGCGCCGGCATCTGTACGCTTGCTCGTATCTCAAATCTTTACTCATATCTCAAAGCAAAAAAATAGCTCGAAACGGAATACTCGTATACATGTGTCTCGGAATACTCGTATGTCGGTGTGCTCGTAAGTAACATATACTCAATCCATGTGCCAATCCATGATCAGTCTATGGGTGGGACTTTGGACAAACTTGAGTAAGATGCCGTTAGCATCATTAACATTAGCAGGAGCAGTAGTTTTGCCAAGAGAATGAACCAAACTTCAGTTGTTGTTGACACGGAAGAGGTCGTGCTTCACAGTGCCCTACAATACCTGGGCAGGCTGAAGTGTAATTGTAGCTGTACTGTATTAGAAACTGCTGAGTTATTTTGGCAGAGAAGACACCAGGAGCACATGGCCTGGTTTGTGTGCCCAGTGTTGCTGAAACCTTATCTCGCTGAGGGACGGGAGGGTTCGACTCTCAGGGTGATGTAACCACACGGATAAAGCCGGGGCCACGATGCTCGACGGGGTCTGTCGCGTTCATCCGCCGCGTCTTCTCCGGCTGTATCCCACGGAGAATACCCTCCGTGTATTTATATGTGTGTTTGGATGTTTATGTGGGTACATGCAGGGCACCAAATACTGGCTCTGAAGCTGAGGTTGGTGTACCATGCAGGCGTCTGTCGACTGGGCTGGTATGTGGGTTTGGAGGGGGTTGATGTGGGAGTCACGCCGTAGTCAGGCCTGCATTAGTAATGGTGTGGGTTACAGGGGGTTGCTCCGCTAAGGCCAACACTAATACTCGAAATACCAGAAGTAATTTAACTAGCGGAGTCTCTATTGTGAGTATATGGCTTTAACGTCAAATTCAAAGTCTTTTTTTTTTTAATACGAATTGATTGGTGATGTGAAAATAGTTAGGGTTTACTACATACTTCATCATAAATTATCAGTGTATTTTGGGGGAAAAAATGCATTTTATTTTTCATTTATAACTGACGTTGCCTTGAGCCATAAAATCACTGACCTAATGGGTTAAAAATGAACTGATTAGTTAATCAGGTTATCATAGATAAAGCAGTAATGCAGTATATATGGCACGTGTCCTATGCTATAGATTAGATAAAACAGTAACGCAGTATATATGGCACGTGTCCTATGCTGTAGTTAGCATTTTTGTTGCAGGCGTTTTTATCTTGTTTGTACTGCTAGAGCGCACAAATCATTTAAGAACCATAAATCGATCTGGTTTAAAGCTTGTACTCGTACACGGTCCAGTTTTACTTCTGCGGAATACATTCACAGACCTCAAAGCCCTCTACGGAGGCTCTCCGTGTTAACTGCCACTGTAGCGAACCATAAATGTCTCGACGGTCTCAATGCGCACGGTGATTTATTTTGGAAAACAAATTCGGCAGAGAACCAGAAGTTTGAGTAATGGCAGTTACAGACGAAAAAAAAAAACCCCAAAAAATAAAAAGTCGCGTGACATCGGTGTGGTGACTTGAACTCAACTTGGTCGACTTGTCTGCAACCCCGCTGCGGTCCCGTCCAAACGCGACACATGTAGTGTGTTGAATTAGGAGCGATAATTTAGACGTGTGTCCAACCACTCAGAGATAACAACATGATGAAAATGTTTTAAAATACCAGGCCCCGCGCTACGCAGAATGTAGCGTTTAGACTCTGAAGACACCAAATTAAATGAGCGTTGCCGGGCTGAACTGTTCCATGTGTGCTGAACACATGCTTCTCCAAATAGCCTCGAGCGGCTTCATCAGAAGTCACATCTGTATCATGGGTGAAGAATGCGTCCACTTGGAATTCCCAAGGTTCTCTACAG